AGGCGTTAATGCTATGCTTGACGTGTATGGCTACTCCTCCTCCACGAATAGAGCGATCTTTTCTAAATATATTTTAGTTAGGAAGAGCAGGTGCCAAGGATTCGTCAAACCAGGTTTCAGTGATGAAAATGGTGTCATAATCGTAGAGAGACGTTGCTAATTCAATTTCGTTGAGTTTAGTAGGATTTAGAGATGTGGCGTTTGTGTAGAAGCAATTTAGAAACAGTTTGAAAGCACTTTTTTGTGAAGTGGGAGAAGACGAGCTATTGATTATACGGGAACGATCATGTGTTGATTGTCGCAACTTCTCATTGGTTGGATTTGGTTGCAGCGAGTGCTTCTTTCCAGTTGATGAATGGGTATTTTTCCAAGCCGTTGATGTTGAATTTTTTGCTGACGTCAATGCATTTGACTTTTTCGCTGCGGATAACAAAACGAAAGGGCTGGTCGAGTTTACCGTTTGCTTTAAAGCCGTTGTTAAGCTTAAACTTTTCGTTGTTTAACTTGTTAAAAATGTCTTGCTCTGAAGGAGTACTATCTGGTCGTATGAAGATTTTATACTAATCAGTGTTATATTAATACTTTTAATAACCTTAATACAATATTGTATTGTGGAATATTATTATTATTAGTTGAATTACACAGAACGGGCGTGTTCTGTGTAATTCACCAAATAATAATAATATTTTTTTACCACCAATGAATTATACTTTTGTATAATTCATTGGTGGTAAGGTTTTTGGCGATTGCTAGAAGACCGTTACGAGTTTTATTAGTTGCGAACTCGAGAACAAAAGACAGTGGAGTTGGTTGAGTTAAGGCAGTGGCAGATAAAGAAGTAGATGAGTTAGTGTTTTGCGGCAATTTGTTATTTTTGTTAGAGTTAGCGGAAGGAATGCGACTTACAACTTTGAAGGATGCAGAGTAGTGTACATATTGTAAACATATTTTACCGATTGATCGACGACGGAAGCATTGGCACTGGCTGCGTTGGGAATTCCGGTCTCTTAGCTTTCGACTTTTGAAGCCTGGCGTTTATGTTCACGGCCATTATAATGGCATTACTTGTGGTTGATCTAATATATTCACCACCCACAAAGTGTCACCACCCGTAAATGTCTATTAATTTTGGAAAAGTCTGGAATTATTATGGTGTCCATTAAATTTTGTTGATTCAGGTTTCATTAAACACCGGTTTGAAGTATCTTAATTTCAATTTAGATGACTTATTAATTAATATAGATAATAGATTAATTATTAATATTAAGTAAGTGTAAACTACTGGTGTAAGTGCGAACTTGCATAACTGGGAACTGGCATAATTGCGAGGCACTTGCAAAAGCTGGCATAAGTGCAAATCGGCATAAGTGCAAATTGCCAATTTAAATGTTAATTTTTGCAATATTATTCGGCGCACTTATGACAATTCACATTCATGCCAGTTTGTACTTATACCAGTTTTTGTAACTGCTTTGCACATATAGCAGTTCGCACTTATGCCAATTTGCACTTGTGCCAATTTGCACTTATGCCAATTTGCACTTATGCCAATATTTGCAAATTCGAACTTATTCTAGTTCGCACTTATGAAGTTCGCGTTTATTCAGCCTCCCGATTGATTAAAACAATTAATAGATTATTTATTGCTCTCAAGTAATTGACTTGAGAGCAATAATATTATTATTGCTCTCAAGTAATTGACTTGATTATTAACAAATAAACGAGATTTATTTTTCAAAATCTATTGTAATTGTCTTTTGAATTCAATTTTATAAGTATTTATATAAACTTTCACAATTCCCAGTATCTTTAAACTGTTTAGCTGCTTTTAATGATGTAAGTTTATCAGAACTATTTGTAAGTTCATCTAATAAAGGAGTACTTGTTGCCGTTGATTCACAATTTTTATACTTAAAGCAACTAGTTCTTTGAATAATGTGAATAATTCTATTTTCGATAATATAATAATGCAATTATTAAATAATTGAATAATACAATTTACGTCAACTCAATCGTAAATGACTTTTTTTTTCATTTTGGACAATTTTTGCTAGTTATTAGACCGGGTCACAGTGGTGCAGAACCTCAAAAAATTGGCCATAGTTCGAAATTTTTTAAATGATTTTTTTATTTTTATATATTATCTAAAATAGGGTTAGGACTATTGTAATTGTAATTGTAAAAATTAAATACAATTACACATTACAATACAATAATATTGTATTGTAATATAAGAGAAACAATAAAAAAATTTTATTTTGGTATTGTATTGCTGTGATGAAAAACAATTACAATAAGTATTGTATTGTTTTTTTTCTAACAATACAATAAAATTCGAGAACTATTGTATTGTATTGTTTTAATGAAATAAAATTACGATAGTTATTGTATTGTTTTGATGAAAATAATAACAATAACTACTTTAGTGTATTACTTTACATTAAAGTAGAAAAGTTAACGTATTTTAACGTATTTATATTCATCTCTGACGCACTTACTATTATTTTTGCTATTTTTTATTTACGGATTTGCAATATATTGCAAATTTTATTTTTTACATATTTAGATTTCGCATCACCTATCTTGTTATGTATTTCTAAGCTCTAAATGGCCGCAAAATATTGCCTGTTTGATGATAGCCTTACTATTATGAAAAATAACATTCATAAATAATTTTATTCGGCCCTTTTATTTTTTTCTCTTGATTTTAATGCTGCAAAGGAATTTAAAAAATATATATGAAAATTAACTTTAGTAACACAAACAGTTAAACATAATAATTCTTCTTAAATAAAAAAGTTAATGTCTTGAAAAGTTGAAGGACCAACATAAAAAAATTAATGATGACGAGACGAAGAGCCAAACGGAGATTTTTCTTGATGCGTTAAAGGTCTGAAAATAAAACAAAATGTTAACCGTACTATTTTTAACAATATCTTCATACTCATTATTTTTCCAAATATCTCATACTTTTAATTGCTAAAAGTTATACTGGAATGAGTTGTGTTTATAAGATTTTGGCATAAGGATAACACTATTAGATATTTAAATATTTCCAACGAATAAATACCTACACCTTAAAGTTGCCTTTGTTTGAATTCAGGGTGATGTGTAATCATCATTATTATTAAAACTCTGACATGAACGACTGGAGACCTGATTAAGTTGATCTTCATTATCTTCTGAATTGATTTCTTCAAATTGGCTATGAGATGAATTGCGCTTAACTGGAGTTGAGGTTCTGCTCGAGCAGGCAGCAGACATGGAACTGTTCATTGAAGCGTCTAAATCTCCAGAGCTGGCTGCTCTTTGATGCTGATCAGACTTAGATGGACGTTCAAGTTGACCTGAATAACATTGTTTCAGCATTTTTACTCTTCTTGATACTTTGTATCAAAATATGATAGGATATTTCCTAACAGTTTTAGTCAGTTAAATTAAAAATTTGCATGAAAAAAAAAATCTTACTTTTTAAATAAACCTTTTGACAGTTTTATAATTTTTTTTTTAATTTTTTATTAAATTCTTTTAATTTAAATTTTTCAAATTTAAGTAAAATCAAAAATCAAATTAAAAGAATTAAAAAGATAAGTTTGTTACAGCAACCAACAAACCCTCTAGCAAACTGCGTTTACCTAATTCAAGTTGTAAATCCCACTGAATTATGACTTTGCTGCTGTTGTGATGTATATACACCAGACGAGCCACATTAGTTGGGTCCAAACGACTTCGTAGTGGAGTTACAATATTTCCTGCTTCTGAGAAAACTCGTTCTGATGCTGCAGAAGATGTTAGGACGGAGAGCACAGCACGAGGAGATGTAGACAAAAGTGGAAATGGAAATTCATTTTGCAAAAGTCAAAGTGCCAAAAGATACATTAGTATCTTTTGGCACTTTGACTTTTGAAAAAGCTTCCCACTCCATTAAAATAAGAAGTTTCTCTTCAGCTCCAACCACTGGGTCTGTTGCTTTTTCTTCGCCTCTGCAGGCTTCATAAAGGGGATCGTTTTGACGGAAAAACTCCTCAAAAACCTCTAGACGTGTTGCAGAGGTCCATTCTTCGTAGGAAGAATGTTCATTAATAATTTCTCGTTTAACCTTTTCGAATAATGCCGGGGAGAATCAACGTAGAGCCAAACCACGGTAACGTGGATCTAAAAAGTTGGCTTCAGCAAAAGCTTTCTCATCGCAGCCATAATTTTTAAACTTTTCTTCAAGCTTGGACAAAACAGCTGCACAGTAGTTCTTCGCATCTTCTGTGTTTTCTTCTGTCATGCTGTCAGAGAAGATTTTGTGCAAGTTGAACCAAGGACTGGCTTTAAGTCCAGATAAGCAGACCAGATTTAACCGATGGTTGACACAGGAAACTGATGAGACTGATGATGAGTTTTTTGAAAAAGCCTTCACAATGGCGGCAGCAGCATCATGAGTAAGAAAGATTTCACAACCATTGGGCAATTGACTTTGTAAATCCTGAGTTAAACTAGAAGAATAATAAAAATAACATTGTAAAAATAATTAAACACAAAAATAATAGAGGCACATTGGTGCAGTAGCATAGCGAAACGGGGGAAAAGGGCCTTTTCCTCAGAGCGCATACGATTAAAGAGGCGCCAAAAAAAAATGCTCGTCTTTTTATAAAAAGCTTTTTTCTGAAAAAAATTTATTTTTTGTTATAAAAAGGCCTTTTTTTGCTATTTTGGACACGGGCGCTAATGACCCTTGCTATGCCACTGCATTGCGAATACCAAAATCTATATATCCTACTATAACTATAGTTTCCATCAAATGATCAACATTAAAAATTGCCAAACAACTTTTTTTAATTGGAATTTGACAGAAAATCTACTAGTACAGTAAAGTCTTCCAATTTTTTAATTAATTATAATTTACTTGAAAGAAATCAAAAAAATAAAATAAAACATTTTTTACTGATATAACAAATACCATTCAAATTTTGCCCAAAATCACTGCATTAAATACTTACTACGAGAAGATTTTTTGTAAGTTTTCAGCAGTCTGTGGGACATCAGTTGGCTCACAACACCAGAAAATCTCCGTATTTAATAGTTGTTGTTGATGTAATGGACTGTGATGGAATTATACTTGTCACATGCTAGAGAGGACCATCCATCAGTGGTGAAACCAATGCGCATAACCATTTTGATCTCGGAAAAGACGATGTCTTTCACAGCTTTTTTGACAGCCTCATATACAATGGGAAGTTTATTCTGAGCGTAGGTCCTTGCAGAGCAAAGTGTGTACTAATAATAATTTAAAATATTTTGAATCACAATAACACCTCGCATTTGAACCTTACTTTACTCGGGTAGTTGTTAGCATAAATATTGGATTAGAACTCTAATCTACCTGTGGACAAATTGCTTGAAACATTTGTTGAATCGATGGGAGTTCCATAAAGTGAAATGAAACATTTGAGTTTGCAAGGCCTAGACACACTTCATAGTCAAATCTTAATTGCATAGGATCTTGCGACTTCAGCTTTAGAAAATGTGCTGGCATTTTGAATTTCCCGCGCAGTTGAAAGTAACTACCAGCTCCAGTTCCTAGAAATATTTTTAATTGCTTTTATCATAAGAGCTTCAACTCCTAAAAGCAGTTTTGCAAGTTTTCAGAATCATTAAGTATTAAAAAATGATTACCTCCTATTGATGTCAAAAACTCAGGTTTTTCCCCAGAAATGGCTTGTTGAGACTTCATTTCTTCCTCCTGCCGCAAAACTTCATTATACACAGTTTTGTGTTTGCGCTTGAGGTGTGACTTCATGCCAGTTGCAGAAGCATTTGGTCTAGGAATTCTGTTAGAGACGACATCTGGACATAACTTGCATTCGACTTGTAGAACATTTTTTGAAGTCGATTCAACATCTTCAAAGTTATTCCACCAGAGTTTTTGCCTTTTGTGACCTGGTGGGAGTCTAGTTTCTGCAAATTTAAAAGAAATCATTTACAAGCTCAAAAAGTAACAATACCAACTTTATACCAAGTATTACATAGTCTACTTTAGAATCCCCATTTTACAATCTTATAATATAACTTAAAGATGAACAAAACAATTTTAATTACTGCTTGGAGCCTATTTAAAATAATTACTCTGGATTATAAATCATATTTATTCAAAAAAAAAGGAGAAAAAATAAACAAAAAAACTATACCTGCCATTTTGTGGTTCAACCTTTGATCGTAAGGCAAAAAATGAGTCTGATACTAGATGCAAAATCTAAGAGTGAAAATAAATTTAAATTGTAAACATTTTTTTGCTGGTTTTTTACATTTTTATGTTTACAAACTTAGAGTGTTAGTTGCAAAAACTGTGGGACACTACTTTTTTAAGAAAAAAATTGACCCACACAATTTTTGTGAAAAAACCACAAACTTTAAGTACTCTCTTAAAATTTGCGCCTTTGAAATTTAAGACTTCAGGCTTAATACTGTGAAGAAACATTTCCTTCACAAGCTAAAAAAAATGAATCATAAAATTTACCTTTTTACTGCATTTGATTATAAATCTTTCAAAAATTAAAATTTTGTTTTGACTTATGCAAATCAGAAAGTTTAACTTGTCACGCTTTAATATTGACACGCTTTAATATTGACACGCTTTAATATTGTCTTGACACGGAATTCCGCATCAATTCTTCCGCGGAAGAAATAATTTATTACGTAATAAAAAACCATGACTATAAAACATAAAAAAACCTAATTTGCACTAGCCGGCTGGAAAGACTGTCTAAAATTAAAGTTAAAATATAATTTTAGACTTATCAAAGTCTAAAATTTAGTTAATTAAACGTTTATTGTGCAATTCAACATAAAATATTTTTCGAATCGGGTAAAATCGGTTGCACCCGAGGAAGATTTTATTTAATAATATATTATATAAATTACAACTAATATAATTAATGAAATTCTATAGAAGTTTTGGTATACTCTTTTTATAATACAAGACTTTACTTATAAATAGTTTTATTAGAAATTTCCCGAATTTTAAATTGCTAATTCAGGATAATTTCGTAGCAATAAGGTTTTTAGTTTCCGCTCATTGTGGTATTTTATTGGTAGGGTAGGGTGGGGCAAGAGGCCCAGGTGGGGTAAAAGGCCCATCCTGCAGTTATAAAGAACCTAGGTAAAATATTATAATTATTGTTTTGTAGTATGAATGATAAATGTGTAACAGTGTTGCGAGCGAATTTTGGTGAATTTTTAGTAGAAATATAATTTTTAACAGAATATTGAAGACTTGACAGGTAATAAGAATAGGACATTTTGATTTTTTGCGTAATTTTAAAAATTTTTTGTAGATTATTGTTAAACTTAGTTGATTATTTAAATGAGTTTATGTATTTGTAAGCGTACAAATTATGTATTGATTATTTACATAACGTTCATTGTACCATAGAATAATATGTTTTTAGCAATTTTTGCACCGACCATTTTGGGGCAAAAAGCCCAGTTTGTTAATGGGGCAAAAGGCCCATCCTGAGCTTTTTACCCCTTGCATTATTTAAGTAGAATGTTCAAATTTTAGCTTTATTTTATTTATAGATATGGTTAGAAATTACAAAAGGAAGACAAAAGAGGAAGTTATGGAGCAGAAGGTTTACAACGGGCTTTAGATTCAGTAAAAAATGGTATGTCTTTGCGTAAAGCTGAAAACAGTTTTGGAGTTTCAAGGAAGACATTGAAAAGGCAATTGCAGGGCAAAGTAAGACAAATTGTGAGCAATAAATTAGGAAATCATGTGAATACTTTTTCTATTGAAATTGAACAAGATCTTGTTAAACACATCCAAATGATGGAAAGAGCATTATTTGAATTAACTACGACGGATATCCGGCGGCTAGCGTTTGATATGGCCGAGCGACTTCACTTGAAGCATTCATTTAATAATTCCTCCAGGCAAGCTGGCAAGGACTGGCTTAGTGGTTTTTTGAAACGTCATCCAGAATTAACAATTAGAGTTCCAGAGGCAACTAGTATGAATCGAGCAGTTGGATTTAATCGACCAAAAGTAGACCAGTTCTTTACCGTTTACGAAGATATACTTACAAAGAATGCGTACGAACCTCAGTCAATATGGAATATGGATGAAACTGGCATCACAAATGTTCAAAAGCCAGGAAAAGTGCTTGCCACAAAAGATGTTAGACAAGTCGGTAAAATAACTAGTGCGGAAAGAGGCACAACTGTTACAGTTATATGTGCAATGAATGCGAGTGGATCGTACATTCCTCCGATGCTAATTTTTCCTCGAAAAAGACTCATAGATCAATTAATGAAAGGTGCTCCTCCTGGCAGCATTGGTGGAGCAAGTGCATCTGGTTGGACAGATTCGACTTTATTTCTTAAATGGCTGGAGCACTTTGCTCTTCATACATCAGCAAGTATTTCAAATCTCAAACTTCTAATTGTAGACGGGCATCACAGCCATAAGACTCTTGAAGCAATTGATTTTTGTCGCGATCATGGGATTGCAATGATAACGTTACCACCACACTGCACACATAAAATGCAACCACTGGATCAAACTTTCTTTAAGCCATTAAAATGTAGCTACAACTCCGCAGCAGATAACTGGATGCGCACTCATCCAGGCAAGCGAATAACTCTGTATGACATGGCAGAAATTTTTGTAACAGCCTATGCAACAGTTGCTGCGGTGGATAAAGCTGTGAAAGGATTTGAAGTGTCTGGCATTTTCCCATTCAACAAAGCCATCTTTACAGATGAGTATTTTATAGCTGCACAATTAACTGATGAGCCAGAACCCGTGATCACACTTGCAATATTGGACGACAGTGCTAGAAACGAAACAAGTGAACCTACGAATACAAATGAAGAAGCCGGCAATGCGGTAGATGATGAAGCATCGGTTAATGTGATGTAGACTGATAGGATTGCAACAGGAGATAGCAATGAGTCCAATGAAAATCAACTAGATAAAATAGCTGATCATCCTGGTTTATCCAAAGCATTGCAGATTATATCAGAACTAAGCCCTATTCCAAGGATAAAGAATGTACGCAGTCGCAAACGAAAAACCGAAGCAGCAACTGTAATAACTTCTAGTCCTTATAAAGCAATGTTAATTGAAGCAAATGCAAAGAAGACAAAACAGAACAAGCAAGTAGTAGTTGAAAATAATAATGAGGAAAATGATGAAGACAAAATCGATGTAATCGCAGACAAATCTAAGAGAACGAAAAGTGGAGATGACAAAGAAACCGGGAAAAGGAAGCAATATGCGAGAACAAAATCAAAAAGGACAATCAAAAGTAACGCATCGAATGCTAACGTGATAAGAAAAGGGTCAAAAGAACGAAGATGTGTAGGTTCTGTTACTAACAGTGATGATACGCCATGTTGCATGTGTGGTAAAAGATTTAACGAACCACCCATTGATGACTGGCAGCAATGCCCAGAATGTCTCAACTGGTACCACGACGGCTGTGGTCCTGATGACACTGCTGTCTGCTTTCACTGCCAATAGGCATAATCAATTCAACTAGTCTTACTGTAGTTTTTTAGCTGTCTTTTTAGCTGTATGAATTAGTTTTTTAGATGTCTTTTTAGCTCTATGAATTAGTTTTTTTTAGCAATTTTTAAGCTCTATGAATAAGCTTTTAGCTGTGTTTTTTAGCTCTATAAATTAGTTTTTATAGCTATCTTTTTAGTCTATAAATTTTTAGCTCTTTTTAGCTCTATTAATATTACGGTGCTGTTTGCCATTGTCATATGATAGTATATATGGTGCTGCTTGCTAATATTATGGTGCTAAGTGTTCTACTAAAACTTTTGTTGGACATTTTTACACACAAATATATTGTGACTAGTAAAAAGTGTATTGTTGCAATAAATTTTTATTGTAAAAAAGGAATATTTCAAGCTATTAACGTTTGGGGTAAAAGACCCAGGAGAGGGGCGTTTTGCCCCAGCAATGGGGCAAAAAGCCCACTCTATAGGAGTTTATAAAAAGCATATTTCCATTAAAACTTGAGTAGCCATTAAGAAAATAACTTTAGATACTTAAGTTTATTATGTATCTGAAATAATGGTAACATCAATTTCTAGATTATTGGATCAGTAAAAAAAAGACGAAATTGCTTATGGTGGGCTTCTTGCCCCACCTTACCCTACTATTACGTAAGATATACGTTCACAAATGTTCTTTTGATAATTAATTCATACAAAATAAAAAGAGAGTAGTTTTTAATTTATTTGTTTGCAGAATAAAATATTTAAAGATAGCAAGCGCTACTCTACATGCTGCACAAAATTTATGACCGCTCGAAATGTTAAAAGTGCACAGAACAAAGGGGTTGTTAGAATTTTAATTAAAAAGGATAAAGGTTTTACTGTTGTTATCTCTACTATGAACAGTAATCGTGGTCGTATGTGGAATTCTTTAGAGTTGTATGCTACATACATGAACCATAGTGGTACAAAAAGCCGCAGAAATTTAATTTTTGATCTTTTTGACTACGTTGGTAATGCTATGGTGGTTCTCAGTTCTTTAGGAAAAGTTAGTAGCTAAAACAGTTGCAAAAATCCACCAATTGTTGATTGTGTTTGTACATTAATGTCAAGTTCTGGAAGGTGTATTGAAAATTGCAATTGCTGGTGTTGGAGCTATGTTGGCTGGAAAGACGTTTCCACACAGTATTAGAGTATTACGTATGATCGTGAAAGAACTAATTTCACTTTTGTTCTCTAAAGACATAAGTGATTTTGATTCTTTAAAGTTTCATCTGAAAAAATAGCAAGTAAGAGTCGAGCATCAAAACATTGCATCGACTGTTAAATAAAACGAGTTTTCATTGCGTTAACCCAGTAGGCACGGGACCTAAAGAAGATGTCTTTTGAACGTTGATACGACGTCCAAATTGTTCAAAAGACGTTTAAAAGGTGTCTTTTTCATGTTCCGTGCCCACTGGGAATATTTTTACGCGCCGAACGCAAAAGTAACTGGACTTTGCATTTGTGGGCAATTTGATGAGCATTCTGTAGTTTATTATTGTAAAATATTCTGTAATTTTTAAACTTAAAGAAAATTAATCACTTCATTTTTATTATTTATTTTACCTTTCTCAGGACGTATTTTATGTTTAATCGCTGTCTTAAGTCTGCCGAATCCCTTTTATTTGCAGAAAAATGGTGGTTTCCTTTTTTTTGATCCCGTTAACTTTGATTTTCAATATTTAAAGTTGCCAATCAATCATTAAATATTAGTTGTACCCTATTTCAAGGGTACAAGGGTATATAGTCGGCAACTGGACCATTAAAACATTTATTAAATTTTGACACTAAAATAATTTTTTTATTACAATAACAATATATTGTTATTGTATTACAAAGACGAATTACAATACAATATTTATTGTTATTGTAGTGGGTCATTACAATACATTTTTTTTTCAGATATTGTTATTGTTTTATAAAGATGAATTGCAATAAAATATTTATTGTTATTGTATTACAGAATTGCAATAATTGTTTTTTTTTTTTTTTTTTTTTATGTTGATTTTAGGTGCCCCAAGAAGTCCTTACGGTCTTATCACAGAGCGCATTTAATTGGAAGTTCACGCCTCTTTCCCAACCGATGTCGCAAAACCTGCCCAGAGGTGGGGTTTGAATCACGGATCTTACGTTTCTGAGACAAGTGTGCTACCACTGCGCTCACAAATCACAACTATTGTTATTGTTTCTAAATTAAGTTAATACAATAACAATATTTATTGTTTCTGTTATTGTTTTAATTACAATTATAATAGTCCTAACCCTATTTAAACCTATTTACATTATGTGGGTGTTAAAAACAAAACAAAAAAAGAATTGATAGTAAAAATTCAAGATACAAGACTAAACAAATTAATAAAGCGACAAAAGTTCAATTTAGTTTTTTTGAATTTTTTTGTTTCAATAACATTTTAAATATTTAAACATTAATTGTTTTATTGTTTAAAATCTTCAAAAATTTAAAAAGCATATTTTACTGTTAATTGATTAGTTAATGGTCCGTGTTTGCAAAACACCAAAAAAAATTATATTAATAAATTGTTAAAATAATATAGACTAGCTGAATTGACCCGTAAAAATACGGGTCTTTGTAAGTCTATTCCACACAAACCTTTTCCCTTATTTTCTTAATCTAGCTGTCCGCATCGGTAAATACAGGTCTTTTCTTCTACTTCTATATTTATCTATTCCACGCCAATCATTTCTTTACTTGTTCCTTATTTACTTCAATATTTTTTAGTAAACAGTGGAAAAAAATTCATTAAAAAAATTTGCTTTGAGAGCAAAATAAAACTTTAACATACGCACTTTTTCCGCATACGTATATAGCTTATTAAACCCCGTTTATTTATTTTTATTAAAAAAAAATTCTGAACTAAACTACTTCCTCCTTTTAGACCAGCCATGAACCATGGTTTATGGTCGCGTCCTAGCTATTTTCAATAGTTACTATTTACTATATTTATTATTATTATATGCTTAGTTTTGAATAATAACGGTCTTTTATAGTTACCTTTGTATTAGACGGAAACGGTAATGCAACTCCTTAAAACATTAGTTGCTTAAAGCGTCAAAAGTCATGCAAAAAAATAAATTATAAATTTTGTGGTTTAAAAGTTGAAAAACTAATAATAATATAACAAAAAGTTTGGTAATTTTTAAACGTTATTACTTAGCTCTTACTTATGGTATTTATTTTGTTTTCATTTTACATTTTTAAAAAAATGTTGAAGCGTCTAACTACATGCATAACTTTGATAGCTCACAAGTTAAGTGCGCAGTCATCAGAGTTGCTGTGCAAGGCTTCAAATCCGCGCCTAAAAAGTCTCAATACATTTTTTTTAATTTTTTAAATCTGGCTATATTTATAGCAAAAAATTAAATATAACAAAAAACCTTTTAATTGCTTTTTTTTCCCCTGCCTCCATTGCAATACCATGTGGAGTAGCAGGACGGTTTTATCAAATTTTTTCTTTATTAGGTTTAAGGACCATTTTTTTTAAGACTATCCGTAGCTTATTAGGACCAATTATGTGAGAACAGTGTCAAAATCGTGACACACACGCAACAAATTTTCGCCACGTTTATTGGTGTTTTTAGAAATCCAAAAAATTTATAAAATTTAAAAAGAAAAAACGGTTAAAGTGTATAACATTTAACTTGTTTAACTTCACAAATATTTTGTAATTTAAAGAAAAAAGTCGCTGGTGGTAAATTTGAACCACGACTATTACATCAAGAAGCTTAGCGCGCTAACCACTCGGCCATGCTGACACATCAAATATCGAAATTTTAAAAATATATAAAAATTGTTTTTAACGGAATTGCTGTAGATCAAAAATTAAGGAGAGGTTGACGCAATGCAATTTTTAAGTCAAAGTCAAACTATAAAACTTGAAAAATGTTTCGGTACGTTTTATCATTAATTACGTACGTTAGATATTTGCATACACGTTTTCTTCTAAAAAAAGTGCTGCAACTCTTTCTACTAACACTACTATTAAGTTCGGCATTATTATATAGAAGATAGATTATAAAATAGTTTTTCACTTAAAAGGACAAACTCTATTCCACATTAACCTTATCTCTATTTCTCCCTCTAACATTTTTTAGTGAACAATAGATTATGTGCTAGAAAAAAAAAATTCACATATGCACCTTTTCCGTATATTTATATTTAGAGCTTAACATGAAGAAGGTAAATCATTTAGTTCAAGACAACCTGCCCAAACCCAAATCCTCTGTTGATTTATGCACACTCACTGTGGCTAGGCGTGTAAAATAAGTAGCTAGGCAAGTCAAATAAATTAACTTGGTCTGTTTTTCTGCATAAAACAAAAACAGAAAATGTGAAGTACTTGATATAAGGAACAGTAATATTGGATTTAATTCAATACAAAGTGATAGGAAACTGCAAAATAAGGTAACAACGTGAAAATTATTCACACGCAAATCATTCAAATACTAATTTACAACAATTTGTATTGCGTTTTATTAAAATAGCTTTATTAAATGGTATGAAGATTGATGATTCTTCTTCTTCGCCTTTAGAAAATAATTAACTATTTGAAAGATTTTTAAATTGATTATAAAAGTATTATCTAAAAATGAAATAAAATCATTATTGATAACACTGAATGCACATTTATTTGTTTTATGTTAATTCATTTGAAAAATGAAAAATACGAAACGAAATTTAGTAATATTAAATAAATATTAAACACTTACTTTGTGAGAGTGCTTTTGTAAAAGTCTCTAATATTTGGTTAGAAGGCTGGAAATACTCTTTTTTTAAAAAAATTCAGTTTTATCAGCATTGCTAAAGATAAAAATTCTTATTGACACAAAAAAATTCGGCATTTTTTCTTAAAATATTTCTTGGCTTTTAGTGAATGATTAGGAGTAAGTTTCAGTAATGAAGCTACCCAATAATCATTTTTAACGATAGACACCAACGTGAAGGTAAGCCAAGCTGTCTATCAACACAAAATATCACAACAACATTACAGGATGACAAACAATAACACCAGTAGTGTAGGCGGGATTTTTGTTGTTTCAGATATATATTTAGAAGTTGTTGAAGAGTTTAACTTTGTTATGTCTAAAAAAATTCAGGTTAGGAAAAACACTTTTTTTAAACATTTGTTCCTAAGCTTTAACAACATCAATTTTTTGCAAAGTATTTTAATTCTATAAACGTGAATACACTTAAGTTTGGTTGAAAGTGCTATCTGAAGCATCAAAAGACCCTGCCTATGCTACTGAATACACATAGGATAAAATATTTGCACATAAACACATTTGCACATAACACAAAATATTCAGATTATGTGTTTCCAGAATAATTTAAAAAGCTAGACAACACAACCTAGCTCAACACTTGTAACACCGCTTGGCACTAAACTCTGCCAAGAAACACCACAATTTAGTAACACCGCTTGGCATTAAGTGCCAAGTAACACCACTAATTAGTAACACCGCTTGGCTAGCAAGAATCACAATCTTGCACTACACGTTGCCAAGTAACATCACTTTTCACATGGAAACAACTTAATATAAACTTATATAAACTTAAGCACATAAATATAAATAAAGATATATAAACGCATATCTGATTAATTTTTTGCTATACTAATCTAAAATGAACAAAAACAATAAAGTGCTATTTATCAGTTTAAACCTATGAAACTATGTTTAAAGCGTCTAATAAAATTTGTGAACAAAAATTATAACTAAACTGGTTTGAAACAGAGAAAAAGTCAGAAGTATCTTGTAATAACATACTATATTGTAAGTAATAAAACAGTGTTTTTTGAAACAAATAAACAATTTTATTATTTTAAAAGTCATATAAATGGTAATATTAAAAAGCAAAATTAGTTACAAATTAATTTTAATAACACTAAATTAATTTTAATAATACTAAATTAAAAATGACATGCCAACAATTGCAAACATGTTGCATCATATAGACCACATGTGGCTGACAACTGATTTTAAATACTATTTTATAATATATCTAAAGAGAATAATGTAAAGAGATTAATAGGTGTATACCCAGCGGGCACAGGACGTCCTAGGACGTCCATAGGACGTACTAAGTTCGTCCGTTCGTCCACGTCTAAAAAGGACCAATTTAGACGTCCATAGGACGTCCTAATTTCGTCCGCTCGTCCAAGTAAGTCTAAAATGGACCTGTTTAGACGTCCAAAACAGGTCGACAGAACCATGTGTTTTTAAAGTTTAGCGCTACTCTTCAAAACTCAAATCATCTTCTTCAAGTTATATTATTAAATTTTACTCCAAGTATAATATAATGGATTCAAATTTTAGATCAACAAAAAGAAAAACTGTTTCTATCGATAAGAAAAAACAAAGGTACGACTAGGTTTTAATGTATTTTATATTAAATGTAATTTAATTTCTTTGTCATAATTAGATACTTGCAAAAATTTTAATAATGTTTACATATATAATTATAATTAAATATATATTATACATTAATAATATCAATGTTAAAAATGTTATAAACCATATAAATTTAAATTTATATGCTTTATAACATTTTTAACATTGACATTATTAATGTATAATATATATTTAATTATAATTATATATGTAAACATTATTAAAATTTTTGCATGTTATATTATATATTTGAATACTAAATTTAGTATTCAAATATATAATATAATATAAATATATATATATATATATATATATATATATATATATATATATATATATATATATATATATATAATGTAATATTAAGTTTTACTTTTATTTTATAATATATATATATATATATATATATATATATATATATATATATATATATATATATATATATATATATATATATATATATTTATATATATATATATATACATATATATATATACATATATATATATATATATATATATATATATATATATATATATATATATATATATATATATATATATATATATATATACTTATATTTATACTATATTATATTATATTTATTTTATATTATATATTAAGCTATACATTTGAATACTAAAATTAATATGTTATATAACATTTATAACATTGACATTATTAATGTATAATATATATTTAAATACAATTATATATGTGTAAATATTATTATAAAAATTGTGTCTAATTATGTATATATCTAAATATATAATTGTAAACGTCTCTCTCTCTCTATATATATTATATTATATTTATTTTATAATCTCTATATCTCTCTAATATATTATATTATATTTATTTTATATTATATATATATATATATTATACATATATATATATATATATATATATATATATATATATATATATATATATATATATATATACTTATATTTATACTATATTATATTATATTTATTTTATATTATATATTAAACTATACATTTGAATACTAAAATTAATATGTTATATAACATTTATAACATTGACATTTTTAATGTATAATATATATTTAAATACAATTATATACGTGTAAATATTATTATAAAAATTGTGCCTAATTATGTATATATCTAAATATATAATTGTAAACGTCTCTCTCTCTCCTCTCTCTCTCTCTCTCTCTCTCTCTCTCTCTCTCTATATATATATATATATATATATATATATATATATATATATATATATACATATATATAAATAATTATATATATGTAAATTTGTTACGAAACTTTACATTTAAATAAATAATAAACTATCGTGTTATTGCCATATGTAAGATAAAAAAGAAAAGGCTAAATAAGATGCAGCCATATAGTTGCATCTTATTTATATTTTATATACAAGGTAAAGTAATAGATTTTAAATTTAGTAGAAAGCGGCTTACAGACTGGAGAAATTCAAGAAAAGCTGTCTGCGAATTTTCTCAATCTTTTAATCAAAAGGAAGATGTAAAAAGTTCAGATTTTGAAGATCAGAGTGCAGATAGTGAATCTGTATATAATTTTGCTGCAGATAATGTAATATATCCAAGTTTAACTACTGGCTCGAGACCAACATTTAGTAATGCATTGCAACAAAGATATGTTTTGTCTTCTGATTCAATTATTGAAAATCAGGGAGAGAGATTCATAGATAATAAAGGCGGGGATCAGGATAAAATGTATTTGTCTCTAAATGATAGTTATATTGAAAAAGAGCCATTTGAAACAGTTATTTTTCAAAAAGAAATAAAAATTTGGAGTTTAAAACACAACTGCACACGGCAATGTACCAATGATTTATTGACTATTTTAAATCGTCATGGGCACCAGGAAATGCCAAAAGATGCAAGGACACTTTTGTGTACACGAAGAGTTGTGAAAACAGCATCTTTGAGAAATGGAAATTACATTTATTTTGGCATAAAACAAGGTATTGAAAACATATTGCAATTTCAAGACTTCAACTCCACTAAAATTAATCTTATATGTAATGTCGATGGTCTACCACTATTTAAATCCAGTGCCTACCAAGTTTGGCCTATACTTTGTCAGTTTGGATATTTTAAACCGTTTGTTGTTGGATTGTATGGCGGTAAAATAAAACCGTGTGCTTCTGAATTATTAGCAGATTTTGCAGAAGAGTTAAAAACTTTCAAACAACCTGAAGAAATACTTGGTAAGATCTTCAATATTTCTTTGTTTGCAATAACATGTGATGCCCCTGGTAGGGCGCTTTTAAAAGGCACAATTGAACATTCTGGATACTATGCATGCGAGAGATGCAATTTGTCTGGTTTTTCTATTCATGGTCGTATTGTTTATGATAAATGTCAGGAAACAGTTACAAATAGAAACAATGCTGATTTAAAAGCCGGATTATACTCTCAAAAAGACAATGATGGTCGGTGCCATCTTCATACAAGAACTCCACTGTTTGATGTTGAAGATTTAGACATGATTCAGGATTTTGCTCTTGACTATATGCACTTAGTTAATTTAGGTGTTATGAGACGTATGTTATATTACTACAAAGGTACATATGCCAGAATATTTAATGGTCGTTTATCAACACCTTATTTAAAAGAAATTTCTCGTTTACTCGCTAATTTAAATGGAAAATTGCCATCAGATTTTGTACGTCAAACAAGATCTTTAGAAGATGTAAATAGGTGGAAAGCCACAGAACTAAGAACATTCTTACTATATGTGGGTATTGTTGTTTTAAAGGATATTCTCAATCCTCAGATGTACAAACATTTTCTCAGCTTATCTTTGGCAATCCGAATGTTGTGTGAGGAGAATAATGTTATTAGGAAAACATATTTGAGTCATGAACAAAAACTCTTGGAGTATTTTGTTTCAAATGCTCATGAACATTTTGGTGAAACATTTTGTGTCTACAATGTTCACTGTCTTCTGCATATAACAGATGATGTTGAACATTTTCAAAGCAGTTTGGACGAGATTTCTCGTTTCCAGTTTGAGAATTTTTTGCAACAATTAAAAAGATTAGTTCGAGGTACACAAAATCCTTTAGTAGAACTTGCAAAACGCTTAAGCGAACATAAATCAGATGATCCACGTAAAGCAAAATTAATAACTAAAATTGATGTTTCCAAGAATGCTTGTTTCATGACAAAAGATTTTGTTGTTTTTGTTAAAAACATTTTACCAAATGATCAATTAGTTTGTGACATTTATAAAAAGAATCATTTAAATAATTTCTTTGACAGCTTTTTAGAATCTAAGATACTTAATATATACTATATCAAAAACCATAACTGTTCAGCAATCCAAACACTAAACATGCATGACTTACTTAGAAAATGTGTGTGTATTCCATATAAAAATAACAAAGTTGTAATATCTTTATTAAATAATGTGCATTTTTGAAAATTGTTTTTTTGTTGTTATACAAATAATGTTGCATACTTTAGTTAGCGCTATGAGGCGTTACTGATAGGCAAGGTTTTCAGTACATATATCAACTGATTTAGGGAGGACTTGCGGAGGGAGTTGATAACACGTCCAAAAGTTTGGGTTGTGGCAGGGATCAATTTATTTTCATGACTCTTCTTTTTCCCTCTTTTTCATTAAAATTCTTAAGGAAATTAGTGAGCATGTTTGATCACCTTTTGCTCACCAAAAACTCTATTGTAAGTGTATATATAGGTATTTATTAAAGGTTTATCTATTTTTAATTATGAAGCTTATTTCTACAATCATATGTTTTATAAAAACAAAAATTTATCCTCATAACATTTTTAAATATCCAAGAGTTACAATTCGGAATTGATGTATTGTATAGAATAAATAGTAAATTTAATTGATACTCACAACAATTTTAATTAATAGAGACTTGATTAATAATTATCTAAAATTGTAGATTGTACAGTACTGTTGCAATTAAAGAAGATGGTATTGACACTAAGACAGTAGTGCCTATTCACTGGGTCAATGCAGACGAAGGTATAGTATACTATCCCCCTCGAGGTAAAAAACCTGTGGGTGTTTATCTATCTGAATGGGCTAGTCCAGAACCTGGCTGGCAAGAGTTTATATTATTAGAATATATTTTGGAGTCTGGGAGTTATGAAACATGTCAGGCAATGCTAAACTTTTTAACTGAAGATGAAAATGATGATCGCCCTGATAAGTTTATATACCTATTTATTCGTTTATATGTTTTAAAGAATTATTTTTTGGCAGATGTTATACTGTTATATGATTTGTGAAAAGTTACATTTTTTATAAACTTTCTTTGTAATATTTCTTTGTTCACCAAGATTATTTTTTCATAGTTATAAGCTTGAGATAGGGTTTAAAAAAATAATTTAAAATTAGTTGCCCCTAGACTGTGAAGAAATTAGAATAAACAAAAAAATTTATAAAATGAGAATACAATTTATGATATGATAATTTGTATTGAGCATTAATATGTGCAATTGGTTTGTTCTTGAGATATTTTGTTTATTATTCTATGTTTTTTGATTTTATAGTTTCAAATATGCTCCACCCAAAGGAACGAGTTCCTAGTCCAAATTTGCATGCTTTAAGTTGCACAACATCTGGTTCTTCATCACCAAATCAATTGGATGTGCCACTATTATCTCTATGGAAAAGAAGTAAAAGTAAAATGGGGTGTGTAGTACAGTTAAGATCGAATGAAGACTCACAACAATCGGATTTAGAATCATATCATTTTACTAAAAGTTCTACATCTTTCAAGATTGGTGATGGTGGTGTTTCATTTAAGGAGATGACAAACAAACGTAAGTTTTTGATATTAAGGTTTATAATGATCTTTTGTTTCTCTGATCTAATAACCTTTCTCTATTTTCTCTAATTTTAAAGCTAAATTTATCTCTAGTTTTATTAACGATTTTTCCTGTAGGCTACAAATAACGAATTTATGTTTAGAGTTTCAGTATGCAATGCTAATGAAACTAGATTCATTGCAGCAAAATCAAGTTAAAATTATGGAGCGATTAGAGAACCTGGAAACACATCCAAAAAGTGACACTATTGATTTGGGTGCCATAATTGCAATCCCACACGGAGATATTGGGTGTTTTAATAATGAAGAAGAAAATCTTAGAGCAAGTTCTAGCGCTAGGAAAAACAAGGTAAAAATTTGCAAAAGTATATTCTACAATATTAAAACAGGTGACGTAGTTGTATGTTATTTGTTTTTAACTCTAATGAAACAGTAATCTATTATGTTCCTACTGGTGATTCCAGGAATGTTTCTTGTATAGTTAAAAAATTATGTTTGTAAAAATGTAAAGTTGTAATATAAAATTTAAGTTTTACGTTATTAGGTTTTAGAACTTATTAGATTTTACAAATTTTCAGATCACTCAAATCAAAGCTGTTGGTGGTGCAACAGCCCGCAAAACTGTCAAAAATGTTTTAAACCAGTTGATGGTGCCACAAGTCCAAAACTTATTTAGTAAAGATGGATTGAAAGGCAAGCTTAAGTTTACAGCTACGCAACATTACAATTGTATTAAAGTTGAGGCAATCATTGTATTGTGCTTTCTTAATTTGATTTTTAAAAAAGTTAAATTTTTACCTATATATATATATATATATATATATATATATATATATATATATATATATATATATATATATATATATATATATATATATATATATATATATATATATATATATATATATATATATATATATATATATATATATATATATATATATATATATATATATATATATATATATATATATATATATATATATATATATATATATATATATATATATATATATATATACCTATATATATATATACTCTTGCATGTCTCTTGCGTGGCATCAAAAAAAGTTTCCCATAAACTGTAGTTTTAAAGAGCGCGTTAATAAACCAGACCAGAAAAAGATTTAAAAATTTAAAAATTAAATTTTTTTTTTTAATTGATAGACTGCCTGGCCAAACCAAACCCTCAGTCGATGTAGCAGCACTCTCTTGCGAGTCAGGCTATTTGTCAGTCGTTGTAGCAGCACTCCCTTGCGAGTCAGGCTATTTGTCAGTCGATGTAGCAGCATTTCCTTGCGAGTCAGGCTATTTGTCAGTCGATGTAGCAGCACTCCGTTGCGAGTCAGGCTATTTGTCAGTCGATGTAGCAGCACTCCGTTGCGAGTCAGGCTATAAGATAGTCGATGTAGCAACATTTACGCATGTTTTAAAAATGTTTTTTATTAAATCAATAACAAAAACACAACTAATTAAAAAAAACTTTCTAGTCGTTATAATTGCGGTTTTTAAAAAATTTTTTAAAAAACAATTAAATTTAATGTACTTCCGCATAAATTAATTGCTTTGACATTTCGATGACAATCAAAAACAGCTTAAGAGACGAGGTAATTAAAATTGTAGTCGTAAGAGACTTTTTTTACATTAAAACGCTCTTTCGACTACACTATAAGGGTATATTTTTACCTATATATATATATATATATATATATATATATACCTATATATATATTTTTACCTATATATATATATATATATAAATAATATATATAAATAATATATATAAATATATGTGTATATATATATTTATATTTATAGCTATATAGGTATTACAGCTTGTAAAATTGTTTAAATAAAAATAATTTCTTTGTTCAGAAGACCAACAATTGCAATTTACTTTTAAGTTTTTTTAGAAGGCTTAGTATCCGAAAGAACTGGTTATGATGCCGCAAATATCGAAGCCCTTGTTGGAGATTTATTGAAGCGGGCATTGCCGAAAGTGAAAACAATTAGCAATGTTGACGTTCACGAAGAAGAAGCAACATAAAATTTTTTCTTTGTATATAGATTATTTTTAAAAGTAAATGGATTTTACACATTTCAGTTGTTTTGAGTTTAACACACCTTTTTTATTCATTTGAAATTCTGATCAGAATTTTTAAAATGATATATATACTCTGTCACAGATATCTGATTAGAATATCTATCTAGGCTGTTTAGTAAGACATATACATACCACGGACGTCTATAGAAGTCCAAAATGGACGGACGAATGCCGTTTCATTCCGTCGTCCATAGGACGTCTTATGGACGTCCAAAATGGACTTCTGTTCGTCTAATTTTGGACGTCAATAGACGTCCAAAATGGACGGACGAATGCCGTTTCATTTAGTCGTCCATAGGACGTCTTATGGACGTCCAAAACGGACGTCCGTTCGTCCAATTTCGGACGTCCATGGACGTCTAATGGACGTCCGCGTGCCCGCTGGGTAGTGCATATATTAGACATATTAAACAGATATCATAGAAAAAGAAAACTTTTAAATATATTTACCAAATCTTTCAAAAACTATATAACACTTAACAAATAAAAGTTAATACAAAAGAAAATTTAGTATTATTAAAATTAAAAATAAAGATAAAAAGATGTAAAAACGTAAATTAATAAAAAAACTTATAGACAAATTATTAAAAAATTTTATAACATAAGAGTTCTTTTGTAAGTTTAGGATTTAAAAACAGAATTAAAAATCAAAAAAATAAAATATTGAAAGTATAAAAATTAAAATAATAAAGAATTGCAAAATTAAAAAAAACATTTTTTTAAAAAGTCAATTTTCTTTATATTTAAAGATAAAGAAAATTCTACCAGTAGCTTAAAAAAGCTACTGGTAGAAATTAAAAGAGTTGAACTGCTTCCCAGCACCCCTCCTTCTACCAATGGTGTCATATGGGGCTTGTCTTCTCCATCTAAAGGAAGGATCATCTCCCCCATATTGACACCACCGGTAGAAAGCCCTTTGAGATACCGGACCTGGGTGCTGGGAGCGATATTGCAGGAAATCTTGATGCAATGCTAAAAAACAAAAACAAAAAAAAAAAAGAAATTTGAATACAATACTGCACAAACAACCAATAAAAATATTATTTAAAACTATTTAGACTTTAAAAAAAAAAAGTTATGACAAAAAATAAATAAATAAAGTAATGTAAAAATAAGGACACGCAATGTGTAAATTTCATATATACCTACACAAATACACATAACACCCATAAAACTGCATAAGCATGCAAAACAGATTACCTGATGGTCCTGCAGATATTGTTGCCATTATAGAAATAAATAAAAAATATGAACTAACACATATATCAGGCCTTGCGATAAAGCGTCGGGCGATGTCGTCCAAGAGCGATTTTGCGTGTAGGGCCATTTGCGTCGAGCAAAAAATTTTTTGTTTGAGTATATTTTAGGGTTGTTCGCCGAAAAACAAAACTTGCGAAAATTTCGCATTTTCATCTACCGTAATAGAATTGTTATTGCGGAAGTTGCACATGCAAAAATGCACATTCCGTAACGCGCTATACGAAAATATAAATAAATAAAATTCCGTAATAAAGCATTGCGAAAGAAAACTTGCGAAACAAATCATTTTGTAAGAATACTTACGAAATAGTTCCTTACGGAAAAAGCATTCCGGAATGTGCAGTTACGAAAAAGACGCAAAAGATTTTATGTTACGATATATTTAAGATATTAACTGTTAACAGTTTAAATAATAAATAACAAAATTATAAAAAAATGTTGTCAAATGATTCTTCAAATGTTTATACAAATATACCTAATATATATATATATATATATATATATATATATATATATATATATATATATATATATATATATATATATATATATATATATATATATATATATATATATATATATATATATATATATATATATATATATATATATATTATATATGTATATATATATATATATACATATAGATACAGTAAAATCCCGTTAAGTTGGACTCTTAATGAACAGATAAACAGTATGCCTTTCTTTTTAAAAAGTATAAAGAGGATGTGTGATAAACAATTAAATACTTTATTATAAAGAACGAGAGATCTCTCTAAAGGTAAATGATATCAGAAAGAGTAAAAAGAGAAGAAATATATGTGAAACAGCGGGATGTGAACCTGGGTCTCCGCAGCCAAATGTCTTAACTGAATGAGCTATACGTTCATTCAACTAAGTGAATAGTAATATCTATTTATTATATAATTAAGAAACTATATAAAACAGAATTTACAGAAAGAGATACGTATGCAAATAGGATTCTATATATCAGGAAAATGAATAGTAATGTGAACCTTTAGTTGCTTATAATTAATATCTGGACTCGAAAACTAGTTACTTTTAATGGAACACAATAGGCTGTAGGAGCCTCAGGGAAATTATATTCAGAAATGATTATATTAGACTCAGAGTTAGCTAGAAATTATTACAAAGTGTTTAGGGCATATGTCTAGTACAAAAAGCACAAGATTTAAAGCAAAATAACTTATATTATTTGAAAAAGTTGTTTTACGTACATTCCATCATAATTTAAGTAGAACTTAGTAAAGAAAGGGAAATGTGTAGAATTAGGCAAAATGAACTCAATCTTAAAAATAATAACTAACAGAAGAGAGGTTGTCACTATTATGAAGGTGACGAAAGATCTGTAATATAGAACATGGAGTGCAAAAAATGCTATCTTAAGTAAAAAGAGTTTGATGAACAAAAGTTACAATGGCTGCGGGATGCGAACCCGGATCTCTGCGGCGAATTATCACGTATCTAATTGATTGAACTATACGATCTTATACTTAAATTCATATCTTATTAAAATTAAAAAACAATATTTTCTAAGATCTATACTTCGAAAAGCGTGTTCAAACAGGACTCTACATACCTTTAAAATCTGCTAGAACTTTAGTAACGTGCACACTTTTAGAAATTATTGAAATAGGTATATTTTATCAGAAATATGCTTAAGCTAAAGCATATTTTTGAGCCTCTTTTTACTATTTGCTTTAGCATATTTGAACCTGTTTCAAAAATTTCATATGCTTTTAAAAAAAAAACATGTATATTCCTACCCATCATTCTTATTTTTAATATACGTAATGAATTCAAAAAACATCGTTATATATATTTATTATGACACGTTTCGTAAGTTTATTTCCGTTAAGAATTCTTTCGTATGTTGTGATCCGAAATACTTTCGTTTCGAAAGAAATTTTATTTTTTATCAATATTTCTAAAAATAAAACCATAAAAATTAATATGTTGTTATACTGAAAATAGAAATTCATTATAAACATTTTGGGATTTAAAGATGTTAATTTTTACAATTAAAATCAGTCTGGCAAACAAATTTTCTTTATAGACTTCAAAACGTCGTTTGGCGAAAATGTTTGTTTCGCAAGTGCGACTTCCGAGACCACTACTTTCGTATGTTGCAAAATAGTTTTGTTTCGTATGTCAACTTGCGAAATGCTAAATTTCGGAAGTGGCTTTTGCGAAATGAACATCGGCGATTTTAAATGTTTTGTAACATTCGGTTCGAAAAAATGTAATTCCTCGTTCTCAATCTCCTTAACGAAAGAATGTTGTTTTTCCGGAATTGCACGAAATCCTCCGGTTAACAACCCTAGTATATTTAAAGATATTTTTGAGCGGAATTTTTATGAAGTAATTTACGATTATTTTAACATTTAATAAATTATTTTAAAAATGGCACGCAGTTGAAATAAAAGTTTGAATTAAAAAAAAAAAAATATGCTCTATGTTGAATAAAAAAAATACACAGACTACTTATTTACAAGTAGAAAAAATTCAAAAATTAAAAAAAAAGTTTAAATCTTTTAAGCTAACATTTTAATAAATTATTCAGCAATAGCAACGTTGTCGATAAAATTGAACAAAAATACTTTCTTTTAGTTCTTTTAAACTTAAATAGTTATTTTACGGGGGTTTGATAGGTTTTAAAATTATTCCATAGATTTAAAAATATTTATTAACTGTTAGACGTATTTAAAGTATTTAAGAGTAATTTCGAGGAAACATTTTAAAAATTGGTGAGGGCAAACAAAAAAAAAAAAAGGATTAATATTAAAACGTATTCTACTTGATTCAATAAAAAAGTACAGTTATTAAAATTTTTGAAAAAGTAACTCAAAAAAATTACTTAAATAATAACGATCGCTTTTATGTTAAAAGTTACCGAAATTCAACGAAGCGTGCTCAAGAACAAGAGAACGTCAATAGTTTTTCGAATAATTTTTAAGAATAATTTTTAAGAATAATTTTTTCGCTGAAAATATTTCTTTTATACCTATAAGATTTTTATTCTAACATTTTATTTTATTTTACGAGAAATAAAATTCCTTGTTAACATTAAAAATCTATTATAACGTTCGTTTAAGTTTTTTATTAATACGAGTGATTGTGCTTATCAACCGCTTTATGAAAATAAATAAAAATAAATAAATATTATATAAAATCGCTTGTAAAAATATTAGCTATTGCGCAGTTTTTTATCGTACAATATTAAAATTTCCAGTTTATTACTCGCTGACTTTTTAAAAAGAAAAAGTAATTATTTGAAAAACGTTAAATTACATATTTAAGAAAAAAAAAATCAAATATTAGCATATTTTATAATCTTTTTTAAATTTAAGTTATAATGTTTTTTATTCGTTTAGTATAGACAAAACGTGACAAACGTCGAGAAAATAAACAAATGTTTTTACATTTTAAAAAACGAAACATTCCAAAACATTTTTAAATAATAACATTTCTACAAAAACGATTTAAAGTAGTTTTGCGGTAATTAAGTAAATTGGTGCAGTTAATGTCGATAAATATGAAAAGCAAATAAAAAGAATTTAATGACGTCAAAAATCACGTCGTGCTTATGCGTCGCGCAGTTCTTATTCATCGCAAGGCCTGATATTATAAACAGTTATGTAATTGCATACAAACATGAAAAAAGTAATGTTTAGGTTTCAATTCACATAGCACTGCATAAGTATGGAAAAACT